AGTAGCCTAGTGATATTGTACATCATCTATAGCATCATCTATAGTGCATAGGTGTGGAAATGGAGTTCACCATGAAGAATGTTCCTTAAGGTCACATTGTTAATAGGTGGTATAGCTGGGATTTGAAGGGTCGTCTTATTTGTGGTTACATTTGTGTTATTTCCACTTCAATTAGTTTTTTCTTATTCTTTCTTTCTTTCTTTTTTTTTTTTGATGGGCTTAATCCAGTTGTTCAAAACAGTCAAGAAAAGGGCAACAAATATTCAGTCAACAGATATTTATGATATTTGCTGGAACAGGGCAATATCATTGTTATATTCTTATATTCTAGAGCTTATATTCTAGTGAAGAATATAGATAATAAATAAATGCAAAAATAAAGATAAAATTACTATAGATTATGAGAAAGAATAAGAGAAAAATAAATGGAAGATGGCCACAGAGATCTAATTTAAAGAGAGTGGGGAAGGCCTGGGAAGTTTTTTGGGGCCACATGATGAGTGAGCTGAGTTTGGCTGGCTGTATTCTCATGGACAAGAAGGGCAGAGCCCTCCAGGGAAACAGTATGGGGGTCGTTCATTCTGCCTCCTTGAAACCAAGTGTTCCTATGAGCTTTTCAGTTTTTCATCTCTAAACTTCAAGCACTTCCAAGGACATTTGGGATACTCCTTCAGTCCAGGGGTGTATGTGATCTGGTGGTTTGGGGGATGGGAAGAGTCCCTGTCCACTTTCAAATGGCCGCTGTAGGGCTTGTTTTCTCTCTGAACTTCTGTCCCTCTGCCCTGCTCCATTAGCGCTTTGCATAGGATCGCTGCAACCGAATAACATCTAATGACACTTCTCTGCCAATTTTATTGCCAACTACACTTGGAACTGAAGCCCAGATGCAAGTGGTAAGGAGAGGGCAGCCAAGGCCTCCAGGTTGCCAGTGACTTGGCTAGAAATCCCATTCATATTGGGAAACAGATTTTTAAAATAAATTTGGCACCGGAAGTGCTGCGATCCTTTTGTGGAGCTGTGTCAATAATCATAAAGCCTCAGAATCATGCTCTCCAACCTTCCGTCAGGCTGACAAATGTTTGGGCATCAGCATATCCTCAGGATGCCACCTTCTGCTGACCGTGTGGGCTTCTCGTGCTGTTTGGGTTGGCACTGGAGCTCAATCTTCTGCTTTATGTAATGAGGCTCATCAGAGAGGCCCTTTGTGCTCACCCTCTCCGAGTGGGTGCTGGGCAAGACCTCTTGTGTACCCCATCATTTTCCATATGGTCAAAGCTAGTGAGCATTTCTGCGGTGTGGTAAAGATGTTCTAACGACACGCAAGATTCACCACCTCCCCCAAGTGCCATCTTGCTCCAAGCCAGGATTATCATGACCCAGCTTTGGTTGAAGATGAATTTTGCAAATATACGTGTGCGTCGGACTGTACTATTTTCGGGGAAAATAGGCATGGGTGTGACACGGGCTGATGTAATGAAGTGTGGCATGTGCCCAATCAGGTTGGCGAGGCTTCCTCTTTGCAGATTGTACCAAGAAGAGGGCAGAAATACACAGAATCCTCTCTCTCTCTCTCTCTCATTCTGAGAAGGCTGGTTGCTAGCTTCTGACATCATATAAAGCCTATTTTCTGACTTTTTTTTGTTTTGGTTTGGGTCTCCCACGGGAGAAAACTGGCCAATACAGTTGGTCACTTAGCTCCATTATTCGTACGGCTCCCTCCCATTAATATATTTTTTAACAGTGTTCAGTGTTAGCGTCAGGGGTTGGCAGCCTTCCTAGCGGGAACAGATTGCTCTGGAATAAACACAGCTGGAAACTGACCACTTATTGTGTTTCTTTCTTTTAAGAAATGAAAGAGGCATTTATAGAAAGGCCGGAGAACATTGTACTGTCCGTAATTACTTTATAGATTTATGTCCCCAAGTCTGGTTAATGATTAATGCCACGCCTGGGTGTCCAAATGGACCCACTTCCTCTCTCCCTTCCCGAGGCTGCAGTTTCCTGGGAACAATGAGCTCTCGGAGGTTTGTTGTGATCCAGACTTAAGGAGGAGGTGGAGTCTGCTGGGTTGTGTTCCTCCCGGCTGGGGCTGGCCGAAGTGTGTGGTCTTTGGAGCTAAAGGAAGCATGGATTCTGTGGGGTTTGCTTCTGCGGGCCTCCCTTGCAGCCTTGCAAACCTCCTCAGGGCTGCTTACGGTTTCAGAGATGGGCAAGTAAGTGAATGTGTGTGTGTCTGTGTGTGTGTGTGTGTGTGTGTGTGTGTGTGTGTGTCTGTGATTTTCATTTGAGGCCATCTACAGAGTGAAGGCAGTGAATTTTCTAATGGTGTGACTCAACTAGGTTTGGTGTCTCCTGGAACGTCTTTGACTTCTTGTTGTCAAGGCCTTGCTCTGTCTTGAAGTATTTGTATTTAAGGAAAACCTTGRGGTCTGTGTAAATATCTAAGATGTATCTGTCGTCAGGGGTTGAGTCAGGAGACCAGAAGCTGGTAATTTCACCCACCAGGGGGCCAATTCAGGGGAAGAGTGATGTGAATGTGGCCCTGGGAGGTTCTGGGGTGAAAGTGAAGGGAGGGAACCAAGTTGTTTTTTTTTTTCTTTCCCAGTTGGAAGACTTTATTGTGGTTTAGGTCGTTTATTTCTTTAGTACCCAGAGGCTTCTCTCCTTCTCTATTTCCTTAAATAGATGTTTTGATAATTTATGAGTTATGATATGATAATTAAATACTTTTAGGAATCRCTCCTAATTAATGGCTACATGAACCATTAATTAGGTTCCTTAGGAAGGCTTTTCAAAGGAGCTTTTCTTAATGAATGGGACTCTCTACATCAATTTTATAAGAACTGAGATGAAGACAAGGAGGACACAGGACTTTCAGAGTAACTTCTGCTTTTGGTTTCTTTAAATGACCCATGAAAGACCTTTTTCATAGACAAATACGTGTGTGTGTGTGTGTGTGTGTGTGCGTATAAATTATACATTATATATATTATATATACATTGTATATATTATATTATATATATATTTGAAAGAGAGAACTATAGGATTATATCTGTTGGGATTACCAGGATTACCTTTCACCTTCATTGGAATGTGTGTGTATTCTTTGAACAAGTTGAATCTATCATTCAGTCCTCACTGGACCATCTCATTTAATAGCTTTCCCTGTCTGTGTGACTGAAGCCCAGGGATGACACTTGTTGGTACTAGGCCAGGTAGCTATTTGGGTTCTCATAATCAAATCTAGCACAGATAGATAGTAAAACTCTGTGTGTTGTCACTTGACATTGAAATGTGTCAACTAATTAAGTCAAACATGCCAATAGCCTTCTGAAGTCCAAGAGCAGGAGAAGGAATGGTGAGTTATGAATCTTATCAAATGCTTAGAGAGAAATGAGTTGAGAACTGAGAAAAAAGTATTTTACTAATTGTGTACCTAAAAGGTTTTCTCTGTGCTGATTTCCTGGCTTTATATAAAATGGCAGAATCGATCTAGATATTGGATTTTGAAGGAACAGAAAGAAAAAAAAAACYCTCATTTATGCATTATGTTGGGTTCTGTTAATATGACCAGTTTTTTTCATGAATTTCTTAAATGACTTTTTAGAGAATGGGACCATGCGGCTGTTTCTCTGACTGTAATCAACAGGTACTTATGGAATCTCCGTGTTTTTTCATCTGCTTTGTCTGATTCGATTCTCACAGTCCACGGATGTGGGTGTTGATGTCACTTCCCTATTTTACAATTGAGGAAATTGAGAGTCAGTTGAAAATGATTCTGGAGGGGTTTTGGTTAAAAAAAAAAAAAAAATGGAAGAACCAGATGTAAGCTGGGGATTTTCAAACTCGAAAGCCCTTGTTCTCCACACCCCTCGCTCTCTGGCCGTCTCTATGCTTCTGTCACTGTGGATAGTGAAGAGTGCTCTCCATTGGAGTGTCAATCAACTCAGGTATTCTGATGTCATTGTCCTGCAACGAGTTTACCTTATTTGACTTCGTAAGTTTCTTTGCRACTTCGGGATCTACCCAGGACTTTATCCGTGGCTTGTGCCAGCTCTGTGGTGCTCAGTGACAATGCAGAGAAGAGGTGAGAGAGGAAGCAGAGCTCTGAAGACCCAGCTCTGCTTGGGTTCTCCCTGCCAAGCACCAAGAGGCACAGGCTCTCCAGAGCTGAGGAAAATCCCAGGCYCTTAGAAGCCTGTTCTCTTTGATCTGCTTCCTAGGCTAGCACTTCTCRGTTTGTTCTTTTTTACCTCACCAACAAAAGTATTTGAGCCAAACTCTTTTACAGTTTCAAAGCCCAGGGATGAACAATATCAGAGTCCGTTCCTATCTGGTCCCCAAAGACATGAAATCCTCCTTGCAAGAACCCATCTGTTATCTTAATCCTTCTTGGAGCAAAGCAAATGTAAATAAATATTATTCTAGGCTTAAGATTTAAAAACCTTCTCTTAGGTTTTCCAACTTGTGGCAGGTAGCCATGGAATGGGACAGGGCAAAAGAGAAAAAAGAGTTTTTATTTTACACCCATCATTAAGTCTAGCAATTGTTCACAGATCAACTTAGAAAACTGAAGGATACTGAGATAAGAGTGACTACATTTGACATTAAAAAGAAGCAAAAACCACAACAAACAAAATAAAAAAAACCCAACCCCCCCCCAAAAAAATACTCCTGTAACCAACGTCATATGTCATCTTGAGTATTCTGTGAAAAAAGAAAAAAAAAAGAAGATTGGAATGCCATTCTCCGCAAGGAGAAAGGGTACATCTTCCTAGGAACACAGAGTTGGCATTCTTACCTTGACATGTTCTCCTTGTTGGTGAAAACGTCATTCCTGCAGCCAGTTTGCATTTGGGACACGCTGCRGTGGCTGGAGCGTGACAGACTGCCTGGATAGGAAACAATACTCAGAATCGGGAGGTGACAGTGTGTTTCTGTGGCTGCTCTCTTGCTACSATGTAGATTTTTAACTTTGTCCTTACATCTTTCCCAATAGGCAAGAAGAGAAACCCTGGCCTTAAAATTCCAAAAGAAGCATTTGAACAACCTCAGACCAGTTCCACGTAAGTTGGCACAATTATYGTCTTAACTCAAGCATGGGGACTTAGCCTCCCAATGGGTTCACTTTGGGGATCRTGAGCCAGACCTTGGCCTTGGATGTAGGTGTTAGAAAGAGGAGTCCATTCAGGGGAAAGTCGTTTCCTGGCTGTTCTGAGACCTGAAATCATCACATTCCATCTACAATCAATGGTTAGCTTTGAAGTCAGTGCCTCAGATGATTGGTAGAGTCAGAATTGTGTGGCACAGGCGTTTGTCAGCCGAGRTCCTACAGAAGCCCAGAGAGGTCCCCGGATGTGGACTGTCCTGCTTCCCCCCTGTAGATCTGAAAGAAGAGACACATCCCTGTGAGAGCCACTGCTGTAAAACACGGGTTGAGGCGGAAAGGTGGTATTTGATGAGGACCCACATCCTTGAGACCTAGATCCTGTCCCTTRTAAACAGCAGGCAAAATGAGGTAAAGGAACACTTCTTTATTAGCTAAGCCTTTGGCCCAAATCCCTAGGTGAGCTCAAGTCCTGGTGGAGCAGGATGCCCTCTCTGTGAGCCTTCTTTCTTTGTCTCTCTGYGTTAAGCATCATCAAGATGCTTAACTGTGGGGTGGGAAGGGTATGTCTCCTCTGGAAGTACAACCACCCCCATGACATCTGTAAGTCACGAATAGAAATTCCATGGCAAAAAAAAAAAAAAAAAATCATACCAGAACCACTGGAGAGACAGAGCAACTACAAAGAGAGTGCATCCGGGAGGAATGTTGAGGTTTTAACGCTTTTGCTCTGGTCTTCAAAGTGCCTCCTCTGTGAACGGTTTGCCCTGTGCTGTGATCCATCCTATTGGAAAGTGCGCCCCCTAGTGTTGGGATGCACTCATCAATGTGATCATGTCCCCTCAGGCTGCCAAGGTCAGGCAGCCACATGCAGAAAAATGTCACTGAAGAACCTCTATGGACAGAGTGAAATAAAGAGCTATACTCTTCAGGACCCTTTATGGTAGCCTGARGGGTTAAGCTCGAGTGAGGATGTTGGTTTGTGAGGATCTGTAGGAGGAAGTTWTCCCCATAACGATGTCTAGAATTTTTTTTTTTTTTGGAATGGGGTTCCTCTGAGCAGTTGGGCTCTCCCCTGAGGACTTGTAAATTGTGTAATTACTATTTTTTTTCCCCTCTGACTAGTTTGGAGTCAAATATGTGTTCCATCTTGCCACYGTGGGAAGAACTTGGTGGGATATACTTTAAAAATATTTATTTTAAAATAATTGTGTGTAGATAAACAGAAGGTTGCAAAGGCATATATACGGAAGTCACATTTAACTTTGACCTAGACTGCACCAAAATCGCCCCATGTGAACATTTTACACAACTACAGTATGATGAAGCCATATTGGTGCAAACCACAGATATATTCAGTTCTAATGGCTTTACAAGTGCTCACTTATTTGTGTGGGTGTAYACACGCGTACTTCTATGTAGTTGACTTGCGTAGCTTTGTGATCTTGTTATCTTTGTCAGTTTTGCTGGAGGTAACCACTATCATCATCAAGATGCTTAACTGTATGAACAATACAAGACTTGCATGTGACCCACTAAAAGTCATGCTTACCTCTTCCCCAGGGCACTTTACCACTGAAGTACATTCTCAGTCTTCTAATTTTATTTTGGACAGGGTCTCACTAAGTTGCTGAGGTGGGCCTCCAACTAGTGACCCTCCTGCCTCAGCCTCTCAAGTCACAGAGATTACAGGTGTGGCTCATTGCACCTGGCTAGAGACTTTATTTCATTCAACTTAATTTCCCTGAGATTGATTCAAGTTGCTGCATGTAGTGTATCAATAACTGTTCCACGGCATAGTTATACCACCGCTTATTTAACCCTTCAGCCTTTGAAGGAAATATGGATCGCTTCCAGTTTTTGACTATTATGAACAAAGTCATGACATTCCTGTGTAACTCCTTACATGAGAATAAATCTTCATTTCTCTTTTGGTTTATATGGTAAGGACGTTTTCCATTTTGAAAGACTTGCCCAACTATTTTCCAGAGTGATTGTAACATATTGTTTTCAACGATAATGTATGAATRATACACTTGCTCTGCAGAATTTGATATTAGCACCGTTTTTCATATCAGCTTTCCTGATGGGTAGTGATATGTCACTGTAGTTTGTTTTTAACTTTATTTATTTTTATGTTGTGCTGAGGATCGAACCCAGTGCCTCACATGTGCTAGGCAAGTGCTCTACCACTGAGTCACAACCYCAGCTCCACATTGTAGTTTTAATTTGAATTTCTCTAGTAGCTAGTTATATAGAATATGTCTTTAGGTGTTTATTTTCCATCCACGTACTTTCTTTGGTGAAATGTCTGGCATCTATCTTTTGCCTACTAACTAATAAGATTGCTTTTTATTGTTGACTATTGGCAATTACTTATATATTCTAGACATGAGAACTTTTTAAASTATGTGATATGAAAATATTTTCTCCCCGTTTGTAATTTGTCTTTTTATCCTTTTAGCAGGATCAAAGAACAAAATTATTTATTTATTTATTCTAATTAGGTATGTAGGACAGCAGAATGCATTTTGATTCATTGCACACAAATGGAGGACAACTTTTCATTTCTCTGGTTGTACCCGATGTCGCGTCACCCCATATGTGCAGTCATACAAAAAAGGTTTTAATTTCTATGAAATCCAGTTTATAAGTTATTCCTCTTTACCAATCATGCTTTTGGTAACAAGCCTAAGAACCTTTACCTTGTCCCAGGTCCTGAAGATTTTTCTCTGTTCTTGTGTAGAAACTCTATAGTTTTACATTTAAGCCCCTGATCCATTTGCAGTTCATTTTTGTAAAAGTTACGAGGGTTAGGTTGAGCTTTATATTTTTGCCAATGGATTTCTACTCGTTTCAGTGGAAATCCCTCCTCTGTTGAGTTGCKTTTGCTCCTTTGTCTAATATCAATTAGGCATGCCTGCTTTGATCTATTTCTGGATCTCTGTTCTGTTCCATTGATTTATGTGTCTGTTCTTCTGCCAGCGTCACACTGTCTTGATTATTGCAGCTATATACTAAGTCCTAATATTGGGAAAAGCGATGCTTGCCACTTTGTTCTGATTTTCAAAGTTATGTTGGCTCTTCAAAGGCCTTTTCCCTTTTCATGTAACTTTTAGAATAAACTTGTCTTTGTCCACAAAAGAACTTGCTGACATTTTATTAGGAACTGAGTTTAACCTAGAGATCAAGTTAGGGATAAATGACACGTCTATTACATTGACCCTTCCAGTCCATGAACATGGTTAATTTTTCTCAATATTTAGTTTTTTAACAGTTTCTTTCATCAGAATTTTGTGATGATCCTCTTCATTATGACTTGTTCAGATTTCTATCTAAGTAGATTTCCTTGGAGCAATTGTAAGTGGCATTTAGTTTTTTTAATTTTGGTTTCTATCGTTCATTGTCAACATATAGAAGTGCAGTTAATTCTTCTGTGTTGATCTTATTTCCTGTGACTTTACTTTACTTTTAYTCAGGTATTAGTTGCAGAAGTTTTTTGTGGGTCCCTAAGATTTTCTTTCTTTTTTTTAAAAAAATTTCTTTTTAGTTGTAGATGGACACAGTACCTTTATTTGTTTATTTTTATGCGGGGCCAGGGATCAAACCCAGTGCCTCACACACGCTAGGCAAGTGCTCTACCACTGAGCCACAACTCCAGCCCTGTCCCTAGGATTTTCTATGTAGATAATCATGGCATCTGTGAACAGAGTTTTATGTCCCCCTTCCTAGTCTCTAGTTTTTAAAACTTTTATTTTCTTGCCTTATCAAAGGGGCAAGGATGTCTAGTACTGTCAAGTACAATCGGTAAGACTCTACAACTAACCTTTGTTCCCCATCTTGTGGAAAAACATTTAGTCTTTTCTGCTTAAGTCCAGTGTTAACTGTATAGWTCTTCTTGATGCTGTTTATGAGGTAGAAAAAGTCCTTTCTAGTCATAATATGCTGAGGATTTTTATTATAAATGGGTGTTGAATTTTGTTGGCTACTTTCCCTGTATCAGTTGATATGATCATAAGGTTTTTCCTCTTTGTCGTATTGATATGGGGATTATATTGATTAATTGGTGGCACATATATTATATTTTTATATATTGTTAGGTTTGATTTGCTAAAATTTTATTGAGGATTTTAACATCAGCATTTTGAGACATGTTGGTCTCTGGTGATTTATTTATTATTTCTTTTGTGCCTTGTTTTCTGATAAGATAGTAAGGCCCTCATAAAGTGGAATTGGTGAAAAGTATACCCTCTTGTATTTTTCAGTGGTCCTTGGGTAAAACTGGTGTTAAATCTTTGAATGCTAAAATTCTCCAGTGAAATCAGATTGCCTGTATATTTTCCTGGAACTTTTAAATTTCTCAATTTCTTTAATAGATACARGGCTATTCAGATTATCTGTTTCATCAGGGCTGACTTTTGGTAGAATGTGTTTTTTGAGAAGTTGGTCTACTTCTAAGMAGTCAAATCTGTGAGAGCAAGTCGTAGTATTTTCTGATTGTCCTGTCAATGGTAGCAGGATCTGATGTGATATCCCATTTTTTCCCCTGATATTGGTCATTTATGTCTTTTTTTTGTCTTTGTCAATTTTGGTTGAGGTTTATCAATTTTGTTGATTTTTTTTTTGAAGAATTGGCTTTGTTTTATTGTTTTTCTGTTTTCAATTTTATTACTTTCTGTTCTTATTTCCCATATTTTCTTTAATATATATTCTTTTATTAGGCTGTGGATGCAGCTCCATAGTAGAGATCTTGCCTAGCATGTGAGAACGCTGGGTTCAATCCCCAACACTGCAAAACAAAACAAAATAATATATATGTGTGTGTTGTGTGTGTATAAAACTATATATAGAAAAATATATAGAAAGCACTATGTATATATATAAAACATATTTTCTTACATCAATTGTCTGCTTTCTTTCTCTTTTGAGTTTTTATTCTTTGCCCTTTCCTAATGCATATTAATTTTGTATGTTTTATGAATTTTTGAAAGCCTTTCTTTTTTAATATTTATTTTTTTTAGTTGCAGATGGACACAATATCTTTATTTTATTTATTTATTTTTATGGGGTGCTGAGGATCAAACCCAGGGCCTCCCACATGTGAGGTGAGCGCTCTACCTCTGAGCCATMACCCCAGCTCCACCCACAAAAGCCTTCCTTGACATAAGCAAATGAATAGGAAACTAAGCAAGCATAAATGTAGCCTCTATTTTTTTTTCAATTGGTAGAATGTATTTTGAATACCCTTTTCTGCTTGGAGGTCAGAGCATCACTATAGTATTGGGGACTACACCATTTAAATTATAGTCTTCTTATTTAGCAGTGAGGTTTAGATTTGTGCTTCTAAAGAAGTAGCTTCCGCATTTTGTTACTTTCCTTGGCAATTTCTTGAGGTTGGCCTGGCGATWCTTACCATTCATACCCCGTCTCCCTGTCCTAGGACAGAGCTCCACTCTCTATAGTCCAGTGTGTATGGTCTGTCTGCTTGAGCTCTTTCTTTGAGTTGCCAATGCCAATGTGTCTTTGACTTAGGTTTCTGAGCTCTTTGTTCACTTGATTGATAGTAACTAATCCTAAGTCAATTCTATGCTAGTCAGTATTATTTTATTAAACACTCACAAAAAGATCAGGATTTAAAAAAAAAAAAACACCTCATTTGACAAGCAAAACAACAGAACTGTGTAAGGGTCAGGTGTTTGTTTGGAATTGTTCAGCTAGCTTCATTGGGTAAGTGTTCAGGCTCTGCAGCCAGAATGCCTATGTTTATATTTGAGATCTAAACTTGACTAGTTAGTACCTTATGCAAGGTACCTAACTGCACTGAATTTTAATTTCCCTTTCTTAAAAATAAGAATAAACAATGGTGTGGTCGTCATGAAGATTAGATGTCATACTCCATATTAAATGTCTTGCCAATTGCCTGCTGCATTGTAGTTGCTCAGTGGAAAGTAGCTCCAAGTTGTTCATTGTTATGGTACAACTTCTAAGTGGAATCACTCAGGGATCTGGGATACTCAATCACGTGCACGTCAGACTGGGTAAAACTAAGGCAAATAATTTGCGGCTAGTGAGTGAGGATCCTTTACTTCTGTAGTTGAGGAGTCATGGAACAGCTCTGAATTCTAATGTCATTATCTCTTTGAAAGACCTTAAATTAATCTCTTTCAATGCCAGTTCTTTTCTTTGTCTTTTTTTTTTTAAGTTGGTGCATTATACTCGTACATAATGGTGGGATTTGTTTTTACAGATCTGTACATGTACACAATATCAATGTCATTTCTTCGCATTGAAATAGAGATAAAAATGTCAGAGTTGTAAAAGAGAAACTATTTTATGCAAATGGTTTAGCCCAGTGTCTGGGTCAAGTCAGTACTTAACAAGTTACATAAATGAATAATGATTGTAATAGTAATCAGTGAACTGATTATACCTATAGAATTACAAATAAATATTATAATAAACCAAAGTTGGTTTTTCATATAAAACACTAATACTGGGTGACCTTTGGAATACCTTTGGTCTTCTAGGGAAAGAATTTTGTAATAAGCTTGATTCTTTACCCAGAAAATTAAAATATGGAATAATTGACAGAGAACATCCACCCACAGTTTATGCCTACAAAATCTTAATGCCCCAGGCTAACTAATATACCCAGCCCTGGACAGAAAGAACACAGTGTCAACTAATCCAATCTGAGCTGTCAGTCTTGGCCCCATAGCCTGATGCTTTTGGCAGACTTGATGAACCCTAAGGCCTGAGGCTTGGGTGGATTAATCATTTTCATTAGAAGAGGCCTGGGTATTGGGAGCAGGTTCCTTGATTCAATCAGACTGAAATAAACGTTCTTTCTTCTTGTACAACCATTGTGGGAAAAAAAAAATGGTGAAATGTTGGATACGTTGGTGCCCTTGAATGAAATAAAAGGTGTGAAGCTACTCTGTGTAACTGCACACATATGGCTTCTGTTTATTGGCTATTTACTGTACGCCAAGCATTCTGCTAAGCATTTGACTTGGACCATTCCCTGTAATACCCAGTCCTACTCCACAAGGTAGGCACGGTAATATCTCCATGTGAAAGGAGACACAGAGGCTCAAAGAAATGAAGTAATTTAAACCCTAATGTATTTTATTTTAAATCCCATACATTCACACTCCCGTGCTATTTTTCCTGACTCKTGAACTTCTACCTTCTTCCCAAAGGGAAAAACTCTCCAGTTGCATATAATTTGGAAAGAATGTCTTTGACTAAATATCTCATGTATCTTCTTTTCCCCTTTATCTCTCTCAGGCCACCTCGAGATTTAGACTCTAAGGCTTGCATTTCTATTGGAAATCAGGTGAGAAAAGTCATGCCTGTCAGCTAACACATTGATCATTTTAAGTATATACTTTCTGGATGACCAATGAAAAATTTATTGTTTATAGAATGCTGTCATGGATGCATCAAAAAAAGTTGGACATCGAAGGGAAWTGGCTTGTTTTGCTTTTGCTATTTTGAATTGTGAATTGCAATCAGGCTATTGTGGTACTGATGAGGGTATTTTAAAAAATTTATTTATTTGTTCTAATCAGTTGTACGTGACAGCAGAATGCTCTTTGGTTCATTGTACACAAATGGAGCATAAATTTTCACTTCTCTGGTTGTATGCAAAGTAGGGTCACACCATTCATGCAATCATACATGTACCTAGGGTAATGATGTCCATCTCATTCCACCATCTTTTCTATCCCTATGCCCCCTCCCCTTTGGGCCATCCAGAGTTAATCCACTTATCCTAAGCCCCATCCCCCATTATGGATTAGCATTTACTTTTGTTGAGGGTATTTGAAGAGACTGGATGTTTTTCTTGGGAGGGTCAGTCTCAAAATGGCATAGATCTGGTTGCCATCAGCCAGTAGTAGGTTATAAAGATAATTRAGGGGGTGTGGCTTAAGAGCTGCAGTGTAGACAGCTTCCATAGAGCCACTGGAAAACTGAGTTGGGTGGAGTTGGGTCTCTGTGTTGTCTGTAATGAGCAGGTGGCTTTGGCTTCCTATAGAGACCTAAGCTTTTCCTGTTGCTCTTGGTGGCTTCTTGCTTTCTGTGGCTTGCTAGAAAAACTACGGCCAGGCAATAACCCCTTGAACACTGAGAAAAACCAGATGAATGAGGACAGCGTGGTCAGTGTCTAGTTCCTTTGTCACCTTCCTATTTTTCTCTCTCGCAGAACTTTGAGGTGAAGGCTGATGACCTGGAGTCTATAGTGGAACTGGGGCGAGGTGCGTACGGGGTGGTGGAGAAGATGCGGCACGTGCCCAGCGAGCAGATCATGGCGGTGAAGGTAGAGTTGATGTTCCCCGAATGTTTTGTGTCTGCAGTGTGTATGTTTGTTTGTCTCCACTGTAAACCAGCCCTTTTCATAGAAACAAAATGGTCTTCAATAGGGTGAAAAAAAAAAAAAAAGATTCTTTGCAGGAAATAGTATTTTTCTCCAAATGTGTGTAAAATGCTTCTTTGGTATGTGTTGCATAGACATTTATTTTTTAACTAAGCCCCTCCACCACCATTTTTAATTTTTTTTTTTTTTTTTTTTTTTTTTTTTTTTTTACACAATGATGAGGTCCCTGTCATACTTAAAGGAATTAGCAAATGCTTTCTTAGCCTCTTCTGATACTGGATCTGAACTAACATTTCTTTGATTATCTCGAAGTGCTGTTGTTGTTCTGTTGGTTTTTCCCGTCAGCATCCAAAGCAAGTTACACAATGCGCTTGGTTGCTATGATGCATGAATCTCTTTTATACTGTTTTGAGTTAAAGAATTGTCCCTGAACATCAAGAAACTGTGTTTGAGAGAGAAAACATCTGTTTGTTGAAAAAAGGAGGGTAAATACATCTAGAGTAAATCTGCATCACTGTTGAGCTATGGACTGCAATCTGGATCAGTTGAGGTTTCTGGAAAGATTCTGGCCTTCTTAAGGAGTTGCCTTTTCTGCATAGTTAGTAACCGGGCCCTTATCGGGAATGGCAAGAGACATGGAGCYCTTTCCTGTTAGAGAATGGAGGCCACCTCATGAAGACCTAGTGTTACGGTAACTCTGCTGTCAGTTAAAGACACAGTCACCTTTCTGGAAGGCAATATTTGCGGGTGTGACAGGTTTGTCTTCTTTCAGAAGCACCGGGTTGGGTTAAGTGGTTTCTCTGTTTCTGTTTGATTCCTCCTCTTCTTGTAGTTCTCTGACAGTTGCACTTGATTCCAAATACAGTTGGTTCTCCCTGTGTGTGGGTACCACACCTCTGGATTCAATTAATTATGGATCAAAAACATTTGAAAAAAATTGCACTGAAGATGTACAGGCTTTTCCCTCATCCTTATTCCTTAAACAATACAATGTAACAATTGTTTACATACATTTATTTTGTATGAAATGTTAAAGGCAATCTAGGAATGATTTAAGGTATATGAGATGATATGTAGAGATCATATACAAATGCCACATTGTTTTATGTTAGAGACTTGGGCCTCCTCGGGCTTGGTAATACAAGGGCCGCTGGTCCTGGAACCAATCCCCCAGGGATATGGAGGGCTAACTATAGCTACTCTACTCCTTCATGTTCCCAAGAGGGGCTTTTGGCTTTTTACCCCTGAGGATCACACATAAGCAGTAAAGTACCTTCACACTAACCTGATATAGTCCTGTAAATCAGATTACTTTTATACCTTAGAAATACAGTTTTAAACATCTTCCTATTCTCTGAAATATTCAGTTAGTTTGCCTCTTTTGTTTAAGAAATCAAATGATGAACAATCTTCCTTACTTTTTTTTTTTAAAGAGAGAGAGAGAGAGAGAGAGAATTTTAATATTTATTTTTTAGTTCTCAGCGGACACAACATCTTTGTTGGTATGTGGTGCTGAGGATCGAACCCAGGCCGCACGCATGCCAGGCGAGCGCGCTACCGCTTGAGCCCCAGCCCCAGCCCTCTTCCTTACTTCTTATGGATTATAAATGGCCGGTCACTCAGGGTGGATATGTGCTAGCAGTGGTTTCAGCTGATTTCAGGAATGGGCTCCTCAGCTCCCTGCCTGCCTGACTGACTCAGCTCAGAGAAGTCACCCTAAGTTTTCCATGCCTTCCCATCTAGCGGATCCGGGCCACGGTAAACAGCCAGGAGCAGAAAAGGCTACTGATGGACCTGGACGTTTCCATGAGGACGGTGGACTGTCCATTCACCGTCACCTTTTACGGAGCCCTCTTCCGGGAGGTAGGTGATCCTTGGATTCAAAGTCCAAGAAAGATAACGACTTACGTTTTCTCCCCTGGCTCTCGTGCCCAGGCTGCCTGTGTTGCTTTTTGGAGCTGATCTTGCTCATTTACAAATCCCTTTGAGATCTTGAAGGGGAACTGTACCTTTTCCTCTTCAGGACAAGGTGTTGACCATTTCTTCTCTCCCCCTTTTCCACCCTCCTTGACCTTCCCTGGATGGACTGATCTCCAGGGTGATGTGTGGATCTGCATGGAGCTCATGGACACGTCGCTAGATAAGTTCTACAAACAAGTGATCGATAAAGGCCAAACAATTCCAGAGGACATCTTAGGCAAGATAGCGGTTTCTGTGAGTACATCCTGAACCTTATTGCAAGGAGAACATACAAAGTCTAGGCTTCAAGGGTCTTTGGGTCCCCTGTATGAGGAACCAGTTCCTTTACCATCATGACCATCCCACACGTGTCTGCTGGATGCGTGCCTCCATGGGTGGGTGGGTAATTAAGTGCTTTCCATCCTGAGCCCTGMGTCCAAGATGTTACCACTGATTTGGTTTAGCAAATTCTACACTCAATACTCTGATCAGGGCAGCCATCTGTTATGACTGCATTCCACCCAGCTCTATATTCTGATATCTATTTTTTATTTTCAGTTTTCATTTGTAGATTTTTAAATGTTTTCTTAAAACTCATATTCATAAAAAGAAGCAGCAGAAAAAGATAGAAGAGACTGTTTGTTACCTTAATGGCTACTGAGATTCATGAGGGTAGAGAAAAAAGAAAATGCTTGAGGCCAAACAGAAAAAAGAGATGAGTGAGACATCTCTAATGTTAGCCCTCTCTGGTGAGTGGAGCCCAGTTTGTGTAACTTGCTGTTCCTACACATCTTGGGTAGAACCACCACTATTTGGGAAGATACCTTACCCTGTGACCTTTAGGCAGGGATAATAAACCTGAATTCAGTTCCTTTCCAGTGATGGGGTCAATAGTTCTACTTTGTGTTTCTCTTACAGATTGTAAAAGCTTTAGAACATTTACACAGTAAACTCTCTGTCATTCATCGAGGTAAGCATCCACACAGCTTCCTTAGCTATTCCTTTTAATAAGTTCATTTCTTTGGCTTGCAGTCTTCCTCTTCACTTTCCCCTCCCCTGTAAAGATGGCAGTGGAATTGAGCCAGGTAATTGTTTGGGAATTGCATAACAGTTAGCTTTTTTGTGACTGTAACAAAACACCTGATCATAATCAACTTATAGATAGGAAAGGTTTATTTTAGTGCACAGTTTTGGAGGGTTTAGTCCATGGTCAATTGGCCCCATTACTTTTTGGCTTATAGTGCAGCCACATATCATGGTGAGAATGTGTGGCAGAGGAAGCCCATTCACACTGTGTCTGGGAATGAAAGGGAGGAAGAGACCGAGGTCTCATGTCCCCTTTGAGAGCACACTCCCAAAGACCTAAAACTTCCCATGAGACCCCATTTCTTAAAGTTTCTACCACTTCACAGTAGTGCCAAACTGAACATAGCCTTCATCACTCAGGGGACGCTTCAGGTCCAAACTACAACAGTATATATACATATATATATATATATATATATTTAATCTTGGTTGAGGGGATAAGAAGACCTGGGCTTTATATTACAACTAAATTGAATATAAAATACCTGTTACCAAGCTAAGGGATCGTGGGGAATTTCAGAGATGATAAAAATTCATCTTGTACTCACCATCATGCAGAAGCTTGTTCCCAAAGCATAATGGACAAATGAATGACATTCTACATTTCAACAAGATCCCCAGGGGATTCTTGAGCACATCGAAGTGAGGAAACCTCTGGAATAAATCTGAGCCCCTTCCGTCTGCAGGAGGCAGGAGAAAATGATCTGGTTTTTCTTTTCACCATTCTTCTCTTCCTTTTTCTTGGCTTATTATCTCTTCATTCATTCATGCACCCACAATATATCCACTCATTTACCTTTATCCATCCATTCATCTATCCATTTAGCTCTTATAATCATATTGAAAGCATTATTTAAAGACAACACTATAATCAATGCCCTGAAACGTATCTCTGAAAATATATTTTTTGTCACAAAATTATCAATAAGAAATTAGAATATCTATACACAAATAAAAGAGTTTTGGAAAAGGAAATTGTCTTAGAAATAGAAAAATACCAAATATGGAAGTAGATCTGCAGAGTGTAAAATGAGTCATTGATTATTACTGGGAGTCCATGGTGAGGAAAAACTTCTTGGAAGAGGTCAGCTAAGTCACGTCTTTGAGAAAGTTAATGGAAAGTATTGATAGCGAATAGGGCTTTGTGGTTTGGATCATTCTTAAGCCATGTGCCTGGAAAGGACAATGTGCCTATTATTATTACTAAATTGGTAGTATTAAAAATTGAAAAAAAAATGGGAGGTTGGAAGACCAGAAGAAGAAATTGGGATGGAGTATAGATAGGAAAAACAATGTGGATTTCTCAGGAATGTGAAATTGATTTTTAACAGCTTACTTCCAAATTATGAGATATTTAATTCTTATTCGAGGATAGAAAGGTTTAAAAAAATAACAAAATGAAATTTGTGTTGTCAGCCAGTTTAAGAGAAAAAATGATATAGGATAATTTTTAGAGCTTTTTGAATGACTTTTTTTCCTTCTTATTCTATGTCCTCTGTGAACAATGTCACAAAGGGAAAAAGGAGCTAATTGCTAATTTCATTACCCAGAGACAGCAGTGCTCATCTGCTGGGGTATGTGAGTGGGTGGGTTCCATTTAAATCTGTTTAGGAATGCCCCTTCTGTGACCTGCCCTGCGCTCTGATGTGCCTGGGTTTATTTTTTTTTATTTTTATTTTTACTTTTCTTTGTCCTGGGAAATTGAACCCAGGGGTGTTTAACCACTGAGCCCCATCCCCAGCCCTTTTTTGTGTTTTATTCAGAGACAGGTCTCMCTGAGTTGCTTAGTGCCTCCCTGTTGCTGAGACTGGCTTTGAACTTGTGATCCTCCAGCCTCAGGCTGCTGAGCTGCTGGGATGAGAGGTGTGTGCCACGGCGCCTGGCTCAGTAATAATTTTTTTTTTTTTTTTAATTCTGTTTCTTTTTTTTTTTTATTGGTCGTTCATAACATTACATAGTTCTTAATACATCATATTACACGGTTTGATTCAAGTGGGTTATGAACTCCCCCTTTTACCCCGTATACAGATTGCTGTATCACATCAGTTACCCTTCCATTGATTGACATATTGCCTTTCTAGTGTCTGATRTATTCTGCTGTCTGTCCTATTGTCTACTATCCCCCCGAACATCAGACAATGAAGACAAAGTAATAATTTTTAAAGTGTTTGCCATGTTACTGGAAATGAAGATGATAAATAAATAGAGGAAAACAGTTCTCTCCACCTGGGGTTTTACAAACCTACAGGACACAGACAAAACATGCAGAATAAGAATCACGTTGAAAGCCACAAGCAGCATGTAGCCGTGAGTCAGGGGTGACATTTGTTTTTGAGTTGGGCAACTCAGGGAACAACGGAAGGTGAAGGACTAACGGGGATCTCAGGCCCTCTGGTGGCAGAGACGCAGAGCTTCCGAGCAGGCTGGAATGATGGTGTGCCGGTTACTCTTTGCTTTCAGACGTCAAGCCCTCTAACGTGCTGATTAATGCCCTGGGCCAAGTGAAGATGTGTGACTTCGGAATCAGCGGCTACCTGGTGGACTCTGTTGCTAAAACAATTGACGCCGGTTGCAAGCCATACATGGCCGTAAGTCTGGCGGCAGGGGTGGCATCGGAGAACTGAACAGCCTGCAAAATCAGGCTGGGGGAGTGGGAAATGGATGGCTACAGGGGTAGGTTGAAATGTGCCCGAGACTCGAGAAGTAGTCTGCATTGTTTTGTTTTCTTAAATATTTCCTCTCCGAACTCCTTAGTCACTTGCTTCATAGAATGTCTTTGTTCTTGTGGGCTCCAATAGCAAAATGCCACCAACTAGATAATATTGATAACATCAGAGACAAGTTCTCAGAGTTTAGGGCACTAAGTCCAAAATCAGGGTGCTGGCAGATGCAGTCTCTGGTGAGGGCTTGCTTTTCTGATTCATAAATGGCACTTTCTGGCTGAGTCCTCACCTGGTGGAAGGGGTAAGGGATCTCTCCGGGGCTTTTTGAATAAGAGTACTAACTCCTTTCATGGAGTCTGCCCCCTGAAGACCTCATCACCAATTATTTGTGTCTCACAGGTGATTAGGTTTCAATGTGTGGGTTTTACAGGGGCAGGTACAGAAACATTCAGACCGTAGCATATATATTCCTTTTAAAAATCAGGTAAACACACGTAAGGAATACACACAGCCTGCACAGTTTCCTACCCTGAGTTGCAGGTGAGTGTCTCCTTGTTGGCTGAGGACAGATTAGTAAGTAGAACTTAAGTGATRCCCACACAGCTGGGTTAGTCGTGAGAGAACCTCACAGCTCTGAAGATTCATCGCCATTAGCAGAGACATTGGGGCTCCATTTATGATATTGTGTTTGGAATTGAAAAGCTCCCTGTCCATGTTCAGCTAAAGGTTGCCAGGGTCTACTAGCACTGGACAGTCGCAGCCTAGTGACTCTTGTGGATTCTTTTTTAATCGGTTCTAGACGGTTGGCATTTTTAACAAGGATAATTTTAGATGGGCAGAGTAGCTTGATAATGCATGCCCCGTTTCTTAAGGCAAAATTAAAATTTGTTGTGAAGGTACTTTGATCCAGGACGGTCTCAAAGAAAGGACTAGCAGAAGAAGGGAAACTCCACCACGGAGACATGGCTATTCGCTGTGGTGACCGAGTCTTTTGGGCCTGGGAGTCATGTTAAAGCTTAAAGCAACTCACTTGGCAGCTTCGACCATCCCTACTCTGAGTCTTAGTTGAGCTGTGAATGTTGTCTCCAAGGTCTTTCCAGTTTCTCAGTTGTCTGTCTTCTTTGCAGCCTGAAAGAATAAACCCAGAGCTCAACCAGAAGGGATACAGCGTGAAGTCTGACATTTGGAGTCTGGGCATCACCATGGTAGCGTATGACAATTGTCCTGGGCTGTGGAGGTTCTGAGCCTGCCACAGGAATGGGGTGCGCTTTGGGACTGAGAAGCAAAAGCCCTGCATGATGTTCTTGAGCATCCTTTTTTGACTGATGTGGCCGGTGGTTTTCGAGTGACAATTATTTGCAGTTTGGTGTACTGGGAATACTTAACTGGGTTTGGGCAAAATGATTTTTCTCTTTGTTCTGCCTCTTCCTAGTTGTATGCCTTTGAGTAACTGGTAGTCCCATGAACTGTCTTTCTGTCCTCATCTGTAAAGCAAGAGGGCCTGACTAGAGTCCTGGTACCTTCAGTCAAATGATTCTAGTCAAAGCAAGATGCTTAGGCTACACAGAGTGCTGATGTGTGTGGGCCCTGCTTGGGCTGTTTCCCAGGTCACGGGCTGTAGGAGTCTTGGCTGTTGAGGTCAGGTGTGTCCTAAAGACATGTTAACAAACAGTAAAATGTGCTCAGGCACAGCCCTGCAGTTACGTGATCAGTGTCACATTAGTAACTGGTGATCATAAATTTTCAGTGTTATCACCGAGGCCTGGAATTATCCACTGTGGTCCTGGCTCCTTTCCAGGCACAGCAGCTGATTAAATCCTGTAAGTTATTTTACGTCCCTGCCCAGAAACCATGTGATCCTGTAACAGCAAAGTGGCTTTTACCCAAGTCCAAAAAAAGATCACTTACTGGGTCCTGGGTTACTTTTTTTTTTTTTCTCTCATTTTGCCAAGGGACCTGCAGGTGGCAGCAGAGTTACAGTTCTGCTCTAGAAAATCCTTGTTTTCGTCAGCTTTTTTGGTTGCTGTGACCAAAGACCTGACAAGAACAACAACCTACGGGAGGAAAAGATTATTTGTGGCTCACAGTTGCAGAGGTCTCAGTCCACAGGCCCGTCCCATACCTGTGAGCCCAAATATGAGGCAGAACATCAKGGAGACAGGGTRTGGAGGAGGAAGGTAGCTCGGGACATGGCAATCAGGCAGCAGAGAGAAAGCTCTGCTTGCCAGGGACAAAGAATAAACCCAGTGACCCACCTCCTACAGCTACACCGCACCTGCCCACAGTTACCACCCAGKGAATCCATGTCAGTGGAAGAATCCGTTGCTTAGGTCACAACTTTCATAATCTAACCCTGTCACCTCTGAATGCTCTTGCCTTGTCTAACACATGACCTTTGAGGGGGTAGCTCATATCTAAACCACAACAGTCCTAAAGTTTAATATTGTGGCTTATAATTGTTATAAAGTAGCCCAGTGGGTTTTGCTGAAGGACCGGTTTTAGGTAGGTTTCAGTGACTGTCTCTAGTCAGATAATATTTAAAAACCTCTAGCTCTAGGAATATGGTGGTGGGAGGGGATTGCCAGAAAACAGCTTACTAATTTGTTTTTATCCCCAAATTATACATGAACTTCACCTTTGTGTTTCCCTCTCACTCTCCTGGAGAGGAACACGGCTGATTCCCGGAGGCATCTCTATTGACACGGCTTCCTCTCCCTTGCAGATTGAACTGGCCATCCTCCGGTTTCCCTACGATTCCTGGGGGACCCCATTTCAGCAGCTCAAACAGGTGGTAGAGGAGCCGTCGCCACAGCTGCCCGCAGACAAGTTCTCCTCACAGTTTGTTGACTTTACCTCACAGTGGTAAGACAGCCCCGTCTCCCCGCTGCCAGGGCTGAGGACGGTGGTGCGTTCTCATGACTTCCCTCCACGGGGATTGGTCCATTCTGCATACATTCATTCTGGAAGCATCTACGGAGTCTGCCCTCCATGCTTGAGAATAAGATGCCAACATCACAATCCTGGCCCTCCCTGAGCTCCACCAAGTCAAGTAGGGGAGTCTCATGAGTCAACTGTTGTAGGGCAGTATCACAGTAGGGCAGGTCCAGGGGTGGAGAGATGCTTAGGGTATTCGGAGAAGTCAGAGGGAAGGCATCAGGACAGAGTTTTCTGGAGGAGATGAATCCTGAACTGAGCCCCTGGGAGGTATTCTCCAAGTAGAAGGCGGAGTAGGGGAGGGAAGGGATTCTAAAGAGAAGGAATATCACACACGATGTCCACAAGCAAGAAACTCCCTTATGGAAGCTGTGAGCAATTTGATGTTGTTCAGAGCATAAAGAGAAACGTGGTGAGAATTCCTGGGAGCCCAGGGATGGGGGACAGAGGCAGAGATCTCCTTGGAAGAGACAGTGGTGGTTCAAGGGTGTTGCTGAGCTACCTAGAAGTGTGCAGAATCTTGGCTTCTACAGAATGCTTGCTCACTGCAGAAGTACTCACCCAGGAGGGCGCAGCAGACGATGTTGGGGGATCTGGGAATAGAACCCAAAGAAAGCTGGATTCAAAGAAAGTTGTCTTAGAAAGAGGGAAAGAACCACATTAAGGTGGTCAAGTTTAGTTTTCCATGGAAATTGCCGGTGCCATCAAGGAAAGTAAGAAGGGGGATGGTATTCTCCAGACAATCCAGTGATTCCTATCTGCGGTCTAGCCAGAATGCCCAAGGTCACGTGATAATGACCCCTGCACAGAGGACTTCCAAGGTCAAGCACATAACAGAACCAAGTTAGTTTATCTGGGCATCCTGAGAAAGCGGCCGAGAACTGGGAGGAAGGAGAGAGTCAGAGCTGGTGGCCGTGGCAGCCGTGCCTCCTGGTGAGGAGCAGGTTCTGACCACTCCCTGCCATGGAGGGGCCTGGAGCTCTGTAGATTCCGAAGGGCACAGGGAAGTCGAAGCGACCTCTTCCTCACAGCATTATCCCTCGGCCTTCTTGCTCTTTGGAAGGAGCGTTGTGAATACAGCTTTTATTGGGAAACACGATGACACGAGAAAGGCTCTTGTTGCTTGTGAAACTAAGGCCTGTTGGACTTTTTCTGGTCCCAGGCCACTCTCACCCCGGGTGTTTTCCCTAATGATTTATGAGACTGGCCCACGGTGGTGGTGGTTTGGTTTTGATTTGGGCTGAATGGCCAGAGAGGGGCTGGAACTCTTGGATAAGAGACAACGTTGGGTGTCTCTAAAATAAACATTCTCTGGGCTCTTGAGGTCTGTCCCCTGTCTGCCTTCCTCGCGTGAACATGCTGGATATATCTGCCAGTTGAAATGGGGGTCATGATTTTGCCTTCTGGATTCAAAGAACTTGATTTTTTTGTTGTTGTTGTTTTCTTTTTGCCTTATCCTCAAATGTTTAAATGTCACATAGGAAAAGGGTGAGTCATCTTCAATACTGAGCCCAGTAGTTCCTAGGAGGAGTGGCGATGGGGAAGGTTCTCATCTAGGGAACTTTCTTCAAGCTTGTCTTCCTGTTCCTCTTCTCCCACCCATCCCCCTTGGCCCAGGATTCTGGATACTTTGGGAAACTTTGGTAAGAAGGATGAGGCTGGTGTGAAAAGTTTGGGAAAGAGAGTTTTCCACTGTGAATCACCCATTCAGTCCAGTGGTTCTCAACTCTGGCTTCTCATTTATACATCCCTAGCAAACATTCAAAGCACTGTCACCAAAGCCTCACCATCACAGATTCCAATTTAATTGGTCTGGGGAAGGACCGATTTCAGTACTTTTCAATGTTCGTAAGTCATCCTAATGGACTTCGAATATACCTGCTGAGAATCCTGGGTTTATACGAAAGATTTATGGACCTGCTATCAATTGCTTCTCGTTCAGAATTACACCTCTCTGTAATTTTTTTTTCCCCAGGGATGGGGATTGAACCCAGGGGTGCTCTACCACTGAACTACAACTCCAACCCTTTTAATTAATTTTTTATTTTTGCTGAGGCTGGCTTGGCACCTGCGATCCTCCTGCCTTAGCTTCCTGAGTTGCTTGGATTAGAACTGCACCCCACCATGCMGGCCTGTAGTTTATTAAAAAAAATCATTCAATTAATTGATTTTTCTGTATCAAAATACTTTTTTCTCAAACTTAAAACATCCTCCAAAGAAATAAGAATGAGATCATTAAAGCTTCTTACAGTGTTTAAAAATGAATACATTGAGAGTGGCATGTTTTCTAACRTCAGTGTGTGCACACACATGCAGAAACTCCTGATGCTGTCCTGTTGCTCTTTCTATAGTGACTGCACTGTGTCTATGCTCCTGCTACGATGCCCGTATGTTGTCCATCTGAGATCTCCCTATCTTTCTCTCTTTTTTTTTAATATGTCTTGTTAATCCAGTCATTTTTATTTTCTATCTTTCTCTTTTTCCTCTCAATTTTAGTTCCAGTTACCATAGTTTATTCATTCAAATGTTTCGAGTGGTAGACAAGTTCCTACTTACCTGGAAATTTTACTTTGGTTAATGCTGTGTCACTTCATTTACATTCAGGAAGTCAGCTTGTCTTGCTTATGGGGCTTATTAAAGTAGTAATAATAATAGAAACAAAATTCAAATCACTTCAGTTTATAGTCATCAAAGGACAGATTTTTTTTTTTTAATTTTTCAAAGCATCAGTACTATATCTCTGGGAGAAGCTGATACTTTGGAATATTAATTTTGTAAAATAATAGGTCATATTTGTTGATGCGGGGAATTGCAAAATAGCAGAGGAGCATTAATTATGAATTTTAGGAGCATGCTTACTTATCCTCACTTGGACTTTAGGAGAGTGTACCTTCTCCTATTTGTCAATAATTATTTTTTTTTTGCCCGCCCTCAAGCATTAAGATATTTTCTTTGATACCTCCTCAAGATGTACATCAAACTTTTTAAGGCCTCTGAGTTGAAAATTGCATGGATTTTCCCCCCTAGATCTTATCACTGGCTTGGGTATTTATGGAAGCAATTTTATTTTTTATGTATAGTAACATCCGGGTCCATGCCTCATTCAGTAACAGCCTCGCTATTGCACCTGTTTTGCTATTGACAGTTTTAAAGTTGGTCTGGAGCAGATTGGAAAGAACAAAGAGGTTTCTGAAGAACACCTATTGCTTTTTGTTTCCCTCTGAATTTATAACTGACATTTTTAGAAAACGTAGATTGGGTCACTTGCAATTAAATATCAAACAAAGGAATATTTTACAGGTGTTCTGGAAGAATACCCCCTTCCTTGATGAAGAGCAGGACACAGCCCCCGAGCACCTTTTCCTTTATTGCCTCATCTTCCACTTTCCTCTTTATAAAGTTGTAATCTTTATTAATGACCCTTTTTCTGAGTGACTGCCATATTATACTTTTACAACATAATCAGGCTTTGGTCCTGTGARTGATAAGGGAACTCCAGATTTGGGAAGTAACATTTTGAATCTCAAATTTCAAGATAAATATATCTCTCTGTATTTATTTCTTCATCCTTATTTGGGATAAGGGTACAAAAAGGGCATGTTTCTCAGAGCCTAAGGGATCTGTCAGAGCATTGATGACCTTTGGTGGCTTGCATTTCACCCAAGCATTTGAAGGCATCCCAGTGTGGCATCCAGGGACTCAACTTGGACCGGGACCCCAACCTGTGACCTCCACCCATCAGTACCGAATGATGCTTGTCAGATAACAGCTAATCATGGTGCATGGGGTGAAGTGGCATCCACAGGTGTCTCTGGAGCCCAGAGGTCCAGGTGCTATAATGCTACTGCAATAACTTCAGAGAAACATCTTGTAGAACGAAAGGAAAGTGAAGGCATCGTTGCTTATGAACTTGAAGAGAAGCAATGATTCCTTATAGACCCTTCCTTTTTGTACTTATTTGGAAATTGGACTACTGAATGAGACTTTCCATCCTTTTTCTCACACTTGGTTTTACTGTAGAGTATTTTAAAAGTTTCTAAGGTAGACAGTGCTGACCAGATAGACCTTGTTTGGGGGATTCATAATAAAGTCTAATAGAAAAGCTTTACAGTCCAATCCACAGAAAGGTTCACAAATGAGTTTATATAGTTTWAAAAAAAGGCATCTCAGCAGGTTTTTACTTTCCACCACAAGCTCTTCCTACAGGTTCATAGAAGGAAGTCTCTGAAAATCAACTGTAGCACTTTCCAACTCAGAGTAACTAGTACGAAACAGAGACAATCAAATATAGTCTCCGACTTGTTCAGAAAGGACAGCAGAAAGAGGCAGCAGATATTTATTTAGCTTTTGACAAATGGATGGCTTGAGAGGCACAGTGTGTTTTTATTCTGTGGATGCACCAAATAGCCCTTCTTGGAAACAATCGGTGGGAATTCAAATAGGCAGAAATCCTCTGGTCAGCACAATCTTCAAGCTAGCATTTCTCAAGACAGCACGAAGCTGGTTTTTAGTGTCAGCCACGGTCAGAAGCGTGTGTTGTGGCATTTGGAAGAGGAATTAGGGCAGTTAGCTAATTGTATGCTTGAAAATGACAAGCCACTTGAAAATTCAAAAGTCTGACTTTCATCCAAGAAGAAATTGGTGTAGCTTTGAACTCTGCAGTTGTTATTTTATACTGAATTTCAAGCACTTCCTATTAAACATGGAAAATTTGCTTTTTTCCCCTACCTAACCTTATCCTGGGCATTTGGCTATTCTTAGGGCATGTTTTGAAGTGTTCTCGATTTAAAAGATGGGGAGAAACTCAGAATGGGTTGCACCAGATACAGGAATTCAGTAAACAGCACTGCTCTGCTGTGTAAGTGTTTTCCTTGAGTACTCTGTTGTGGAGCTTGGGKTGAACTTTGACCTTCGCAATCAAGGGCCATAAGCCAAAATGTCACCTATTGGCCAGCAGGCTCGGAGGTTTCAGAAATCTTAAACACTTTATGATGGATCAACTTGGGTCTTTTGCTACTTTTTTTTTTTTTTTTTAATAATGAAGATTTTCAAAGAAGAAACTTTTCTGGGGACATTTTCCTCACCTGCTCTGAAAGTGAAGATAAGACATCTAGAATCAAAATCACTTCTACTTAAAAAACGAGAAGCCTTCAATCCCTCTTACCTGTTGGGAAGGAAAGGGTCATTTCATAATMTACCAAATATGAGGTCAAAAATCAGCAGACCCATGGAGATCTGTAGTTGATAAAAGAGGCCCTTGTTTTGACATTTGAGACACAGGCTCTTTCTCTTTGCTGGTCATTCCCTTGGTTCTGTTCCTGACCATGAAAACCACTCGTGGAAAGGTGGACAGAGGTGCTCAGTGACAGTGTCTCAGATTCAGTGCAGAGTTAGGGTCTCCAGCGAGATTCCAGAATCAACCCCTTGAATACTGGATGTGGGTTTGATATTGTGTGTGCTTCTTGTTATCGATTTAGCAAGTTAAATTGTTCAGCCTATAGAGAAGAATTTCTGGGTTTTTATTTGCTTTGATGAACAGCTAGAAATTTAGGACTTGTACACATTAGACTTTTTTAAAAAAAWTTTTTTAACTGGGGTCTATATGCAAGTGAGCAATACCCTGGGACCACATTGCTTCTGCTGGGTTTCTTTCTGGGTAAACTAGCTCTTGAACTTAGGAAAACTTTTGCTTCTGAGAGTAGCAGGTAGAGAAGGGTAGAAGGCAGGAGGTGGCAGTGAGTGACAGATGAATCAGATGGAGAAGATCCTTCCGGGTAAATTCACCTAAGAGGAGATGAGCAGTAGCAGCCAGGGAGATACCCTAGGACCTAAAATCCAGTTTCACCTATACTGTGACATTTTAGACATTCAGTAGTGGGGGACTGCTCTGGGCATTATATCATGCTTAACAACATCCCTGGCCTTTACCTAGTAGATGCCAGTGACCCTCTGCACCTAGCTGTGCAACCCAAAATGCCTCCAGATGTTGCCAAATGTCCTTTGGAGGGCAAAATCACCTTCCTTTGGGAACCATTAGTACTGACTCTCAGGATGCAGATGCAGGCAAAGCCATCAATGGGAGTTCCAAGGCTCATTCATTTCACTCAGGTACACATTCCCATTATCGGTCCGACTGTGACAATTGGTAATTCTATCTAATGCACTCTTGTTTTTATCCTCAGTTGAGATGAAACTTTCTCTCATAGGTTGTCTGGTCACTRAGGTCACTAGGTCCTAGGTCTGCCCTCAGTTCCAGATTGAAACTTCTCTCCTCACATCTACCTGTACCCTGTCTCAGGTCCCCTGGCTTCTACCCACAGCACTGCCTGGAATAAACTGGTAGGCTGCTTTTCAGTTGCTTTGGTTCAAAAGCTTCCCTACCCCACCCCCTCTCCTTTATCTTTTTTCATTTCATTTTTTTTTGAAACCCTGCGGTTTCTCAGAGCATCTCAATGACTTCATTAGGATGAGTTTGTGTGGCTGGATCAGAGCAGAGCCCATGTCACACACACCAGGTCTCATTGGCTCAAAGATGACACATTAGCGCAAACCCTAGCATCCTTATGATCAGTCACATTTCTGTTCCTTTCACTCCAGGCACAATTCCTTTCCATTCATGTATGATTGTGTGGCCCAGGGGGTGAAGGAGGGTGTAGGTGGCCTTGCAAAACATTGTTTTCAAAATCATGATTCTCTCCATTCTGTAACCTGCAATTCCAGCTCCAAATACGCCATTTCTCTTCTTCCTTTTTCTTTTCTTTCCATTTTAAGGCTAGGGGTTGGTAGAGGATGGGGTGGGTTGAAGATAGGAGTGATGGGTTATTCTCTTCATCCTGTGATTTTATCACTGTGGCCTCTGGTATCCAGGGTTATTCGATGTCTCTGAAAGCTCAACAGATCAAAATGCACTTCACAGCATTCACAGTAGCGCACGACCACGAAGTATTTCTGAAAAGAATTGCTAAGTCACGGAGTATGTTTTCCTTTTTATCAGCTAAGATGCATAAGCAAGTAGTTTTAGCCTAGAGCCTTTATGGGTTTACTTCTTCTCTCTGAGGCAGGGTTGGCTAGGAATATATTGAAGCAAATTATAAACTCAAGGGAACTGGAAGCTGCAAGAACCAAGTTTCATTGAAGACTGTGAGGGGATAACAGATGCATCATAGGAAACACTTGCCGAATTCTTTGCCAGGGGAGGTGGGATTAAAAGCTTCCTTGAAGGAAAATAGCTATTCATTTTGAAATAGAATGACTGCAGCTCAGAAGGGTTAGTCTCATTGTCACTGGTAAAGTGTCAAAAAAATAAACACACACACACACACAAACACACACACACACACACACACACACTTGTCTTATTAAGGGTGATTTAAAAGCACAATTTATCTTTGTAACAGAACCATCAACATAGGAGGTTCATAGTTTCAATACATTTTTTAAGCTGGTTTGGTTCTAGAGTCCTAGTGCAGTGATAAATAGTTTCTATATTTTAATGTAATTAATTTCTTTTTTCCCTTTAAGCTTGAAGAAGAATTCCAAAGAGCGGCCTACATATCCAGAGCTTATGGTGAGTGTCAGCCCTGTAAATATGCCCAAAGTTATAGCAACCTAAATTATGGTCAGATAACCACATTGGAAGAGAGATGATTGATTCATAGGGACACTCATGACAGGAATTGGAACTCAAGAAAAAGAGTGAAGAACCTTTCATTCATCCTATGTCCTTTAAAAACATAATAAAAGCCTTTTCCCTAGTTGATTAACCTGTAATGATATAAACCAAGGGTGTCTATGAAATTTATATTTTCAAATTTAAAACCTACCCGTGGTCACAAAGTACTATATAAAATGAAGGAAAGCATGGCCTTCAGAGATTTCAATAATGAGAGAAAGAGATGCTATGTGCCTACTCAAATTTTGATAATATATCTATTAGGTGAAGTTCTTTTGGGTGGGTGGCTGGAGAGGAAAGAATCACTTTTTTTTTTTTCCTCCTCCTGTTTTTCATTTTGGTGAAAAGGAGTAGGAGACAGTATTATGAACTGGTTTCTATAATCTGGCATTCACAATTTGTCATTTGCTCTATAGTGAAAAGAGGGATGGAATTCAAAGCTCAGCCTTGTTTAGAATTTCTAGCCTGCAACCCGMGCTGGCTTCATGAAAGAAGGTTGGAACCCTGAGCAAAACACTAGGAGTTTTGAATTAAAGAGACAAGATTCTAATTACCTTTAAACCAGCTCYAGGACGGCTCCTCCTAGCTCCAGCCTCCAGCCACGTCATGTGGTATYGAGGTTTACTGAAGAGGCTAGTGAGAGAAAGAGAACAAGCCAGGGAGTGGACTTCTTTGGGGGAACAAAAAATTCCGGGGAAAATCCCATCCAATGAAGGTTAAGGGGGGCAGCTTCCCAAGGTCAGGGGCGATGATAGGGTCTTCGGGGCAGTGGCCAGACAGACCTCTGCACAGACAAGCCCTCGGACCTGGAGAAAGGTGGGGAAAGCTCTGACACAGCTGTGCCTAAGCGCCTCTCGCCCAGCCAGGGAGGTAATTCAAATCACGTGCGAGGATGGCCTCCCACAAGAATTGTTTCTCTTCCCTGGTGGTAGCTGCCACTCTAGGTATTACCAGAGGGTCTTTGGTACAGATAGCAAGGACCTAAACTTGGCAATGCTCTAAGTGTCTTTTGAATGTGGGAGGAACACATTAGGTGAAGGGAATATCACACAATTCAGACTATGTATGAATTGGTGTTAACTCCTCCCTAGACTTCACCTGAAGCAGGGGAAGGAAGAGTTAGGTTCACGTGCAATTTCAATAAAGAGAAGAGTACACGCTGACTTCCCTTTTTACCGGAGCACRGTGATGTGGCAGGCATGGGATGCTTCCTCCCATCCTGTCCCACCCACACCTGTCAAAGCCAGCCCAGGGACATCACAGAATGGGGACATTCCTGGCATCTCTTACCAAGTGTTGTGGTGAGGGGGCTGAGATATTTCCTGACTTGGAAATGTCAAGTCAGAAGGTGCTACGGGACTCTGGTTGAGAGGGTGTGGGCTCAACAGGGCCACCCACGTGGATTTTCAATTCTTGTGGATAGGCTTTGGTTTAAGTCTGGACCATTTTCCTAATGGATGAACTTGGGCCTCCACGGTCCCCTTTAAAGGACAGTGCCCTGTGCTTGACACTCTATAAGCTGTCTTAACTGAGACCCACAATTGAGGAAGAAGAGAAGATGAGAAGACAGCATTCTATATGCTTGGGTTAAATATTTCCTGACTATGTTTCTAACAGCCAGAGACCTTTCCAGTCCTGGTTACTCTTTTGTGATAGTGTGACACCTAAGCCCTTTTAAAATTAATTTCACACAAAGTTCAATAAATGTAGAATGATTCCTGTAGGATCTTATGGAATCTGTAATCCTATTTTAAAACCTCCTTGTTTTATAACTAATTTTGGATAAAAGAAGAACTTTCAATATAATTATCTTTAAAATGTAGGACATTTTTGTTTTTCTTCCAGAGAACCTATTATAAGAAAGTTCATTAGAACACATTAGAAAAAATTCAGGCTCAGTGTACATTGGCAGGGAATGTTGACTTCTACCTTTCCAGTATATTCTAACACTGTGGTATGTYTTGGCATACATATCAATGCTGTAAGATCATGTGGGCTCCCCCCCGCCCCTTTCTCCTTATGGCATTAGTCTTTGTGGTCCTGGAAATGAACTTGCCTCTTAAGACCATAACTATTGCCTGCTTTCCTGTGGAATTGAGGTTTTTAAATGGAAAATCTGAGTCCAGACTCCCTGACTTCAGTATGGGGAAACACGTGCTGGGAGGCTATTGTTTAAGATTTTTAGGAGTTTGTGAGGAGGTGGGAGAGAAAGGAATCATTTTTCCAGATGAAGGACAGTGTCATTAAGGCCTAACCCAGACATGGACCACTTATGGAAATCCCAAATGACTTTCTCCCTGACTCACATTGAGGGCTATCTGTGCTTTAAAATCATCTTCTCTGCTTGTTCTCCCAAACTTCAGCTGGGGGCCATGACTCTACAGGAATTGTTCTTCAAGTGTCAGCATTAGCCAACTAGATAGTATTTTAGACTCTGGGGGAGCTACAGCTGCCATTATGACTCTGGAAATCTGCTGTTATAACCTGAAAACAGCCATATTCAATATATGGGGGGGGGAGGGGTGTGTGTGGTTGTACTCCAATAAAACTTTATTTAAAAAACAGGAAGTGGGCTAGAGGTGGTCATGGGCTGCCCTTTCCTAACCTCTCCTAGATGATAACCACCATCAATGGTAACCAGATCATTCAAGTGATTGTCCCGTGGAGTCATTATGTTCTCCAAATATCTTAAAAGTACTAGAGTAGTAAACAAGGATGCTTGGACCACAGAAAACATCATCTTTTTTTAAAAAAAATTTTTTAGTTGTAGGTGGACACAATACTTTTATTTTTATTTATTTATATGTGGTGCTGAGGATTGAACCCAGTGCCTCACACGTACTAGGCATGAGCTCTACAGCTGAGCCACAACCCCAGTCCCAGAAACCATCATCTCGACAGCTGAGATGTGCCTAGGCTCTGGAGACCTAATTGGAGATATAGCTTGCCCCTTTGCTCCTGATGGTGTGTCCATGGACGACCTTGCTGACCTCTGGCTCTCACACCCATTTCCAAGCCTGGGAATAAACTGAAACATGCCTGAACATTTGTTTTTAAGACTGTAGGCTGGCTTCTTTAATTCATTCACACATTCAGGCTACAGCCACTGAGCTAATAGCAGGACAGAGGTGAGGGGGGGTGGCTGGCTGGCATTAGAAGTGATCACCAAGACAATCTGAGGTTTGGTGTGTCCTGTTTTGATAGTAAAAAGGCTTTTAAGTACATTAAACATCTCCAAATGTTAAGAGAATGTGGGAAAGCTAAAAAGCATGATGTGAAGACACTTGGTAAGTGCGCCGTGTTAAATGGGTTAGGAATGGAAAGTGGTACTGCTGCTTGGTCGTTGAGGGAGGCCAGGATGAGAACCTTGCCTCTGGACTCTCACTGAATATTCTGGTGTCAGGCTCAGAGCCCGTATCCAGCCTGTATTCTCCAGCTAAAGCAGGAAACCTCCTTTCCATTTTCTGAGTCACAGTCCTTGCAGGACAACCTGCTTTTTTTTTTTTTTTTTTTTTTTTTGCGTTTTCTTTGTTCCTTCCCCATTGCATTGTTCCCTAAACTCCCATGGGTGGGCATTCAGTTCCCCACAGAGCTGACTCATCCAGCCCTCTACTGTCAGGCTTAAAGAATTATAATTAGAAAGCCAACAGCTCGGCAACATGATGGCTGTAAATGAAGTCTCCAAGTCAGGGAAAAAGAGTGAGTCACCCAAATGTCTGCATGCTCAGTGCTCACATTTAGTCCTGACCAGCCATGGCAAATACTACTACCAGACAGTTGGGGATGTGGGGGTGGTGGTGGGGGACGAGGCACTGGCTACTAGAGGGAATTCCCCCTTGGAGTTGGTTTGATTGGGTCTGTCTCTACGAGGAGTCCTAGTGTATCTCTAATATGAGGTGGACGGTCCCCCCAAGACAGCCAGCCAGTTCAGGAGGATTGTTGTTCTGCCATGGAGAAAATGGGTTGGTGTTCTGAATTGTTCCTGACAATTCAGGACAGCCTCTTGCTGTCCCTCACCTTTTCCCGCAGCAAAGTGCAAGACTTCATTTTGTTTTTTACAGTCTGCTTAGTCTGAGCTGCATGCAGACAGACCATGCTTCCCTTTCCCATCTTTAATCTCCAAGTTGAATTTACTCGGCACATACCTGTAGTTGGTAGTTTATTTCCCAGATGGATCAACTCTTGGTCAAGAGGAGACRTAAGTCTAACTCTTGGCTGTAGGTATGGCTTAGAAAATGGCTTTGACTTTGTCCGTCCTGATTAGCCCTCCAAAGTCAAGGGCTGGGATGCTTCCTTGCAYAGTCATGGATCAGCAGAGTTGGTGTCTTAATTCTACTACCCATTTCCTGAGACATGAAAATACCTGAATCTATGGAGTTTCCAATTATTTTATAGCTCTATCAGTCTAAAATGACTTTTTAGGGGACCAAGTTGTAAGTCAGAGTGTTAGATAGATGGTCATTGCCAATCTTTGTATTTGACTATAGATGGGATTTGTATAGCATATTTAATATTTTTTTTAAAAAAAGAAAGCAATAGATTCTTGGTGGTGGAAACCTAGAGATATCAAAGTGGGAGGAGTGGAAGTAAAGGTAACTTTAAGGTATTTGCATCCCTCGATGTGTACTTATTTTGGAAAGGGTAGGAGGGATCTCCCTTCCCCCTGTTAGGGATACATAACTCATTTATTAAACAAACTTGTTCATTTGCTTATCTCATGTATTATCAGTGACAAATATTAATCCATGCTTTTTTTTCTTTTCTTTCTCAGCAACATCAATTTTTCACCCTACATGAATCCAAAGCAACAGATGTGGCATCTTTTGTGAAATTGATTCTTGGAGACTAGAGAGCATTGGACTTAAATTGGTTGACCCTACTGTGGATTGGTGGGTTTATGGGATGAAGCAAGTTCACTACAGCGCCAAGAGAAAGTCATCTTTGAGATAATTTTGCCCTGCCTCTCTGAGGGTTTTCTCTCTCTCTTTTCTCTTCTTTTTCCCCCTCCTAAGGGGGCCTTGGAATCTATAGTATAGAATGAACTCTCTAGATGGATGAAATATGATAAAGGCTTAGGACTTAAAAAGGTGATTAAATATTTAATGATGTGTCATATGAGTCCTTAAGCTTCTCAGATTTCTCTTGTTCTTTATGGAATGAATGCATTGGCCCTGGCAAAAAGGTGCTACAGTAGTGATGAAACTGTAAGTAGATTTGTAGTTTGTCCCATTTATTATTTTAATATTTATGTTTAAGCGCTTGGTTGGAAAGATCCCACTTTACACAAGAAGACAAGGTTGGGTTGGCAATATTTATAGGGCTTTTATTTTTTAAGTTCGATCATGTCTATGGTCCAGAAGAAATTATTTAATATGMATCTTTAAGAATATTATAAAAATCTCAAAAAAAAAAAAAAAAGGAGCTCTTCCTGTGAAATGTCTCTTCCTCTCTCCCAGACTTCAACTCCATCTTGGGTGATGACCATGTGTTTTAGGTGAGGTGTTGAGGTATCCTATTCCTGCTCTTTTTCCAAATTTGTAAAACATAAAAAAATCACTTTTATCACAGCTCGAAGAAACAAGTTTGGCTCTCTTGACATTTGTGGTATAGTATTCAGTGGAAAGTGATTTGTGATGTGATTTTATATCTACCTGTCTATCCATCTGTGTGTGTGTGTGTGTGTGTGCATGTGTGTGTGTTTGTGTGTGCGCACTTGGTAAATCAAGTTCCACCAAGGGGCCTCTGTGAACATCTGTATTCTGTAGGAAGGTCATTTGTTGGTCATGAGGAGAGATTGCACACCACAGAGAGAATCGCGGTGCCTTCTTCTGCTTCTGGTCCTCTTGCCGTGGAGATGCCCTAAGGATGATCTTTGTAATCAATTTGCTTTTTTCCATTTGTTTGTTTTCCTGTTCAATGAAGAAGCCTTATTATGAGTGGAAGGGCTACAGTTGTAGAGAATTAAAGGCCGTCAGTTGTTCCATGATACAATGAACAGGTAATGGAAGGCTGAATCAGTTCCTAGGAATAGACTGTTCCATTTCCACACCTTGTTCCTAAGCAGCCGGCAATTTAGCAAGCTCCACCCTGAATTCCAAGCAGGTTGACTTAGCAAAAAAAAAAAAAAAAAGAGTTCTTTGCCATGGCTAAAGACACCACAGATGTCTGATATGGGGCTCTTGATTCCTCAAGGACCAAGGAGTGAAATGATTGATGGAGAAAATATAGACCTTACACTAGTAACTAGGAACCAATTCTTTTGGACATTGTGTTTATATAAAATGACTCTTAGAATACAAAGACAAAGGATGTTGATTAAAAAATAGAAGAAGAAGAAGAAGAAGAAGAAGAAGAAGAAGAAGAAGAAGAAGAAGAAGAAAGGAAGGAATGAAGGAAGGAAACTATGCTTTCTTTCCTTGTCTCAAGTTCTCTGATCTGGAGAGGATTGCTCCTTCAAATCCTCCTTCCCATTTCAGATTTTTGAAGTGCAATAGTATATTATCTGTTTGTATTGTTCCGTCTTGTTCTTGACCTCTTGCTCATGGAAGTTGCTCAGAGTGAGTAGGACACTTTCATTCCTTCCTCATATTCTCTTCTGAGACATATCTGTTTGATTCAACATTGGCTTCATCTGCTTCAAAGCTACCTCTGCCTTCATTTTTTTAAAAAATTTTTTTCCTAGCCAGAAAAGGTGCATTATCCTTGTAATTAGAGYCATTCAGTTTCCCACCCACCTTTCTATAAAGCTGGAAGTTCCTCTTCTTTGAGACTGAGAGAAAAATTGCAACTTTATTCCTGCTCTATTTACCCATTTTATGAAAACAGAAAGTACTAGGAAAGTCATCTAGGGTCACTCCATTATAGCTTTCTTTCTTTTCTTCTTTTTTTTATGGGTGGTAATATTGTAGATTGAACCCAGGGATATTTTACTGTAGAGACACAACCCCACTCCTTTTTCTTTTTTCTTTTAAGACAGGGTMTTGCTAAGTTGCTGAGGCGGGTCTCAATCTTGCAATCCTCCTGCCTCAGCCTCCCTGGTTGTTGGAATTACAGGCATTATGCCACCACGCCTGGCTTTGTTTTAGCTTTTGGTAAAATGTAGAAAGCAAATCATCTCCCTGGCCTGCGTCAGGTTACGCCTGCCTGTTTGTCTCCTTTGAATCATTCTTAACAACCACAAAAAAAATGTTTCTCATTTGTATGTCTCTCTAATCTGTGGGCCCAGGGCCAGAACTGCCAAAAGAGTYGTAGTTGATAGAGAAGTTGGTCTGTGGTGGTCAACCCTGGTACACTTTGGAATTCTGGAGGAGYTTGTGCATACTGTCAATGCTAAAGCCCCACAGCCACCAGAGACCTAGATTTAATTGGTCCATGGTGGAGGCCTGGGAATTGGGAGGTTTCTCAAGCCCTTGTGTGATTCTGAAGTGCAGCAGGGTTGGGAACATTGGACTAGTAGTACCTTTTAGGGAGATAACTGACTTCTTTAGGGAGATAACCACCTTCTCTTTAAGGTTTGCAGAGAATTAACAAGCGATTATAAAGAGGAAAAAAAAGCTGCCGTTTCTTTCCTGTCCTCCCCCGTTGGAATATCCTTGCCACCACCAGGAAGCCATGTTCCTGGGATATTGCTTTGAAAATTGAAATACCTTTTCCCCAGAAAAGCAGTATTCTACGTGGTGGTGATTAGGTATCTCATGTACTAAGGAACGATGTCTCGATAGCCCTAGGAGTCTAAATTTTAAAGCCTGGTTTTATTTTTCAAGAACCACGTGTAAATCCTTAACAACCAACTTAAAACAACRACAACAACAACAAGATACACAAGCTGTGTCTGTCAGGAGTTTCTTGTATATACAAGCAGATATGTMTATAGAGAGGAAAAAGATATCTGTATTCAGGAATGAGACTCAGATTATTTAATTGTCTGCCACCGCAGGCCATCTCATTATCAGCCCTGTATGTATCTATCAATGCATTGCAGAATCAGTATAGCTCTACACCAGGGGTCATGCTCATTTTTACAGAGGTATTCGATTTGGTATCATATAATTGCCTGTGTATGCATTTTCTTGGTATTTGTGAACATACCCGTCTGTATCCCTCTCTCTGCATGTGTTGTTGATTTAAAAGATGTGCCAAAAACCTAATGTGAATGATTTTTAAGACAATTACTATATGTGTGTATCTATTAATGAGTGTTGCTCTTCAGAGAAGCTACCTTGAGAGACTATATATATATATATATTTATATAAATACTTTTACTAAAATATTTTTGTAATTCTCTTTCCAAAATTTATTTCCTCCTATCATTACTTTAGAATTACTGCTTTTTTTCCCCCCCAAAAATACTAGGTTGTCTCCAGTTTGACTCACCTGCCTGGTTTATCTGATTTAGCACCAAGTGGTGTTTGGCAATTTCTAGAAATTAAATCTGCTCTCAGAGCTGAAGTTTTTAACATCACCATCGTCTAATAGGCTTAGAAGAGAATTTCAAATGAAAAWTTTGCCCCATCCTTCCCAAAAGTTATACCTGTTTTTAAGCAAAAACAACCTTTTGTAATAAGTTTAGGTCTCCCCTTAGTGGCTACTTTGATGGAGGAGGAAAAAACTCACATAGATGTATATATTGACAAAATATCAAGACAGTCACTGACTTTATACATGGTGTCCACCTATTAGCCATGATTGAAGGCCTTGACCCGAAGGAATAATCCATTATTTTAAAGATTGTATGTGATTACACTGAGAAGCTCAGAACCAACTGGTTACCCAGTAGCTTTTGTCTCAGTGAAGCCATCTGAAATGGAAATGAGTACATGTGGGTCCAGCTCAGAATTGGTTGTATATTTCAGTTCTTGTGTGTCCTCCAAGCCTAAAGAAAAGCTCACATGTTCCAGGGGCTCCCAGACTTTCTGTTTGTGACKCCATTAGTCGACTTAGTAATTTTTTCAATGGTGTCCTTGCCCCAAATACTTAACAGTTCAGTGTAGGAAGTAATTATGTTCCAACAGTTTAACAGTTGTAATTTACTCTGTGTCCTGCAGATGTCGCTCTGCTTCCTTCAAAATTTATACAACATCTTAGCTTGTTTGCAGTGGGCTGCACAGTGTCTCAGTCAACAGTCTGGGGACCAGAGATCTATGCTCTGCTGATGTTTGCTCTGTCTCCACTTAGTGACCTTCAAAGTCGAGTTCTTGTTCACTCTGGTCTCCATATTATTTTGYTCTTTGTTTTGTTATTATTATTATTATTTTTTTTGCCTGTCTCTGGCTAATTCACTTTTTAATGAGATTTGCCCGCCCCCCCTTTTTTGGCTATAATTCATCAGTTCTGCATTGTCAGATGTCATAATCCACAAAATAAAATCAATATTGATAAGCCCCAGCATGAGAGRAGGCTAGTACAAGACAGGATCTCTGAATTTTCTAAATGAAGTTGATTTAATGTTTGGAATTTAATCAGAGAGGGACTAATTAGTTTTGTAATTGTCTTTGTTGAGCAAGGGACTTCATTATCTCTGCTTAGAGGAAGTTTTCTGTTTCTCTCCAAAGTGTCTAACACAAAGCATCTTTGGCCTGAAAATACAATGAATAACTAGTTCCTAATTTCCCACTCAAATGTTCTTTTGCTATGTAATTCCCTCTGGCCTAAAAGTAAGATTCCTATATTCATAAAATGCTTTGTAGCTGGTATTCAGATCAAGTAAAATGAGTTAAACCTTTGTGCATGGATTTGGACTTCTTAAAACCTATGATGACTTCAAGGAATCTTCTACTTTTTTTTTTTTTTAATTAACAACTAAAAAAGGAACTCAAGTAAATGTCACCTTAGAATGTTTATTTRTTTTTAAATGGAAGGTATAGTTTTCAGTTAGACCCCTGAGAGAAAACCTACATATTTAGATGGAAAAATGCCTGATTAAAATCTCAGAAGAGAAAGCCACCAAACTTGATGGATAAAAAAAGAGATATTTTATTCTAGAAGTTACACATTCCTCTTTCTTAGGGGTCTGTGTGTGTTTAGCCTTGTTCAATGTACTGACAGCTAAAGATCCTCTTTGATTTTTCTTTGGTTTTTCCTTGRAGTATTCTGGATTCCTTTGGGAATTTTTTTTAAAGCTAAGACATTTTCCCTAGGAAAATGCACATCATACGTGAAACACATAATTTTGCAAACATTTCTTTGTTGGGGACAGTTCCCATAGGATCAATAGCTTTGTTCTTTATAATGTGACTGTGACATCTAAGAACAGATTGCCAATCTTTCTGGGAAGGGCCAGACAGTATGTATTTTTGTATTTCATATGGTCTTTGTTGCAACTACTTGGCTCTGCTGCTACAGTGTGAAATTGTCCAGAAACAATACATAAATGAACATGGCTATGTTCCAATAAAACTTTATTTATA